CAGTTTAGGTGAGATTCCTTGCTGGATTAGGTTACTATTTAAGCAGATAACTGTGTAGAAAAACTAATGAACCTCAGTTCCATACAGATTTACCCTGCTTGGCTTTGGCTTTCTGAAAACTAAAGTAAGGGACAATATTTCTGTTGTCTAGGGTTACTGGATTTTGAAAATGATGTTGTAAATGTTTATGTTCTCATCTGTCCTCTGAGGTTGCCTGCTTTTATACAGGATGATAACATTCTTTGATACTTCTGCATATGAATGTGGCTGCAATACTGTGAAAATTCAGAAGCCCTTGGGTATACATCTTGTACACAGTGACTGATTGGTCACATTAGAAAATAAGGCAAATTCAAATAGTCAAAGTTTATTGTAGAGGTTTGCTTTTCATACTAACTCCTGCACAGTCTAGTGAGTTTATAAAGTCTTTGTAATAAAAAAGCCTCAATTTTGAGATAAATTTTTGTTTTGATTTGATTTTTAAAATTCTGTGCAAGAAGACATCAGTCCAGATGGTGCTTTGGAAAAGTAAACTTATTGTCTCCTTCTACTATTACGTCAAGCTGATGTCTGTGGTTTGAATAACCTCAACCTTATTCTGCCCATTTTCTTTTTAAAGCAAGCAATTTTAGATGTTGAGCTCATGCTAGCTTCACGGAGTTCATGTTGATGTGATTATGACTAACAGTTGCTTAAAGTAGTTAACGAGTAGCCTGAGCACAGTCAAAACGGTAAGAAATTCAGCTTGCATAGGTAGGCAAAGGTAATGTAATAGTGTAGTAAGTCCATAGGTTCGTAGGATAATTCAGGTTGGAGAAGACATCCAGCGATCATATAATCCAACTGCTCAAAGCTGTAATGTCGGATGAGTTTGTTCAGTGGCTTAATCCAGTTGTCTGAACATTTCCATGCTCTTAAGCTGCAAGCTTACTTGAGAATGTTTATTAAGAGATGGTTTGGGCCTTCTTTTATTTTTAATTTTAAGCTTTGATTCCTGGTTTTGGAAGTTCCTGAATTCACTTTTAGCTTTCTTTCTGATGTATCACTGTTTCAGAGATGGTAAGATGAGTTTTCTCAAAGATACCACCTGGAGTTCAGATTTGGGAAAATCTCATTCCCTTTTTCAAAGGGCGAGTATTAAAGGGAAACCTGGATTTGCCTAAAAAATAGACAATAGGTTGCTTAAAGCAAGCTGACTTGACTTGGTGGTTCATAGTCAAACTTCAGGTTTTGAATATTGTGTAGTCTGTTACTGTGTGCTATTACTAACATAGATTAATTGTGTGTGCAGAAATTGTCACTAAGTAGTCTAAATAGAGGGATGTACCTTCATTCAGAATTGTTCATAGACACCCAGCAGCTGGTAAACATGCTTTTCCTCCTTCCTTGATGTTACTACATGTTGATATTGTAAAAGTAGATCTTTAAGAGTGCTACCTAAATAGCAAAAACAGATGCTGAGACTTCCAAAGGATGCTGAGAATTTATCAAGATAGATATCACCTTGCTTTCATGGGAGTGCCCAGCAGTTAAAAAAATTACCTAAGTTTTCAGTTGTTTGGTTGATAAATAATATTTCAACTGAAATTTCCAAGCTGAGTGGTGTAAAATCTTAAATTTTTAATAGAGTGATCTTTAATTTATTACTGTACTCATAATATTGAGATAATGGATAGTCTTTATAGTAATTAAGATGGATTTAAAGTAACACAGAAATAGAGGTTGGGGATTTTTTTATTATATACTTGTCAGTGTTAATGTCTTGGAAAAATCTTGTACTTTCTCTTTGCTTCTAATCTTACCTTTTTTTTTTTTCTCCTGTAGCAGTGTACTTTATTGTGTCTGTGGTTAGTTGAGAAGCATGTTTGGTACAGGTTCTTTTTGTAGGTTGGTAAGAACTTGGCTGTCTTACGTGATGAAAGTGACTTGACTTTTTTTGAAAGTAGGCTGTAGGAACATGAGAATGTTTGAACTCCTTTCTAAAAGAACATGTCTTTCAGATAGACTAGTATCCCTTCTGAGTTGTTAGTTGTTAATATATTCCAGCTACAATGTCTTCTACATTCTTGTGTTAGCAATCTACCCACATGGAATGTTTCTTTCATATATATGGTGAATGGTAGCTTAGCCTCATAGTTTGTAATGTGACTGTGTATCCTCTTCAGATACATAAATAGTGATAAAAATAGTCAGTGTTGAAATTTGCAATTGTTATTTGTTGTCCTCTGAAGTGATACATAACACACGATGAATGTGGAATTATTTTGGTTTAAATTTATTGCTATTATTAATTAATTTCTTACATGTAACATGAGTCCTTCTATTTCTTCTTTGTATATGTCAGTAGTTTTACTTTTTTTTTTTCTCTCCTCTTTCCCCCTGGGAAGCAATTGAAGTTATCTTGAAAGTCTGAGTCTTTAAATATGTTGTCTAACTGAACTAGCATCTTGGTAATAGGTAATCTTTTGATAGCTCCTCCCTTTCTAAATATATATGAACTCCTGTGGCCTTTCCCCCCCTCAATAAGGCTTCCTAAGGCATTTCCAGTTTTCTTCTTGTTCCCAGGACTGGAGGATACAGGTCTCATTTGCACAAGATATAAAAGGAAGTATGACACTGATAACTTACTTACAGACCTTAAATGTTGCCTTGCTTATGGGAGATTCAAGCTGTATCGAAGCTACCATGTGTAGGCCTCTGCATGTGCATAGAAGAGATCGTTCTCTTTATTTTAGCAGCTGCAAGATAGCAGTGTGGGCCAGACCTTCTGGAGAAATCTCCTACTGTAGGTTTTATCATGTTTTTGAAACTGAAGTGTCTAATGCCCTGGAAAAATCTGTTCCTGTTCTTCTGCTTCTTCCAATAGCTTACAGTTTCTGTTCCTTAAATGTCTAATCAGAGGGGTTTTGTGTCATTCTTGCAAGGTGTATAGAATTTTCATAAGGTTAACGGGACAGACTTACTCTGAGTATTCTAGAGTACATGTATTTTGCCAAAAAGTGCATTATTATGCTTCTGGGTTTTATTAATAAACATTTTGTAGTATTTTTACCTTCTTCATTGTATGTTTCACTCATTGTTCTCATTATTATGTAGAGTACTGTTCTTTTATTGCAGGTTGTTGGGTTTTTTTGGTGCCAGTTCTTGTCTCTACTGTACTGGGGAAACTGTCATAGTTTTTCTAGAAAATAATTAATTTCTCTTCTCCAGTTTTCACTGTCATGTATTTGGCTCTTGGGCCTCATTAGTGCTGGGATTCAGTCTGTGGTGATCCTGGACACCATATTTTATTATTTTAATTTTTTTTTAATTCCTGCTTAGGCAAGTAACTAGCGTAGTATTGTAACTTAATTTCTGTTTTCTCTGTGATGAATTAAGATGTCCGGTGTGCTAACTTCCTGTGTAACTGATGGTTTTAAGCCATCTCCTGAACTGCTCCTAAAGAGTGATGTTGAATCCCTCTTCCACTGTGCCGTAGAAATGTGCTTACTTCATGTGGTAGCTTCTTTAACTGGAGACCTCTTGCTCTAACTTCCAAGGGTTTAGTATGTGGCTGTTTTTCAGTTGGTTAGGAATAAATCTATAAAATATGATTTAGAAAAGTAATTCAGATTCCTAGCAGAGAGTTTGACCTGTCATGTGTACTGGAAAGCCAAGTTGTGCTTTCATTCTGTAATGGCTAGTCACTAACTTAGGTAAGAAATCTCAAATACCATAAAATAAGTTTTCATGTTACTTAATTCTTAGCAATGAGAACTGGAAGTCTTCCTAGCCATTTTTATATAGAATGATGCAGATTTTAATGAGTGGGTGTTGGATATGCTTTTCCACATATTATAATGGAATATTCTTTTTCAATGTGAAAGTTTACCGTATTCTTTTTTCTTAGTACCACTTAATTAAGAACAGAAAAAGAATATGACAAATTAAAGTAAAGATCAGATAGCCCTGCTATGGTATTTCTATGTGAAATTTGGGGAATATGTGTCAGCATTCAAATTCTAAAATGTATTCCAAACTAAGCTAGGTGAAAGCTAGTATTTGGGAGCCAAGGACAGTAAAGTCACTTTAATGGAAGCCTCCAATTTGGTGACTTCTGCAATGCAGGAACCAAATGTTGTAAGCTGGTTTAGCCTGCTCTTTTAATTAACTGCAATGATATCAAATTACAGTAACAGTGCAATTTTCATATCAATGTATTTGAAAAATAACAGTTTGTTCTGTCATGGGCTTTGTCTGGTGTTTTCTCTAAAAGCAGTTGGGGTTGCTGCAAAAATTTAAATGAGCTGTTTATTTTATAATTTCTCATATTTCTTAATTCTAGTGATAGTTATGCCATTGCTTGCTCTGAAGAAAAGAAACTATTTAGGTCACTTTTTTTAGTACAACAAACTACAGCTCTGCCAGTGAGACTGTATTAAGTTTGCATTTAGTTCTTTAACTGGGATTTAAATAAAATGGAGTTGGAGAAGGTTTACTTTTCAGCTCCGTTACTGAAACACAGCTTCAAAATTATGCTTTAACCATACTGGCACAATGAAAACACTTAAATTTGCCAAATCAGACCCAATTATTTTGATTTCTTAATCATCAAAATGCTTTCAATTCTCAAATTGCATTGACAATTTTCACTCTCCAACTATTTTAAGATTTCTCCACAGAACTAAATGTAGATCAGTAGAATGTAGAATTTCACCTTAAGTTAAAGTATGCTGGTTGATAAAATAACATTAGTAATAGTGTAAAAGATTGTTTTCTATGTTACTAAAATTCTGATGTGCAGAACTGTATGGGTTTTACATTGCTTCACTCTGGTGAAGTCCTTTAAAAATTAGTGCTATCATTGTGTATGTGTGCATGCGCGATGTCTGGTATGTGAGATCCTGAAACTTTATAAAGACAACTTTTGAGTTCTAGTTAATAATTTATTCCCAAATGATTTCTACCTGATCACTACAGCTGCGTTACTTTATTGTATGTCTTTTCTGCAGACACCAAAGATGCTAACGAGAAAGATTAAGCTTTGGGACATCAATGCCCATATAACCTGTCGTCTGTGCAATGGATACCTGATTGATGCCACTACTGTTACAGAATGCTTGCATACTTGTAAGTAGAAGTATAATTGAGTTAAATAAATTGTATTTTCTTAATTGATGTGCAACATATTTATTGGTGTTTAGTTGATATTAAGAAAAAATATTGTGCACCAGCACAAATAATGAGTGCTTCACTAGACAATGTTTTTTTAACAGATTATTTTGTTTTTTAGCAAAGCAAATTAAGAGAACATTGAAGCTGTACTGCACAAACTTGAAGCCTTATGCAATTAGTGATAACATGTGCATTCAAGAATGCAGTCTGCCTTCCTGCTAAAGGAATGTGTAATGCCTCCCTCTCTTTTCTGCAATAGTTGATGTAGGATATGTTTTCCGCCTGGAGCCTTCCAAATCTCTCTTGTTCTCCTGTTCCTCTGCAAAAAGCAGCCATAGTTTGTCCCTTAATAATAAGTGTATTGTATTGTGCTATAGAATAAACTTTTCTTCAAAAAAGTTTTGATGAGCTTGCTGTTTGTCATTATGTTACTTAATTAATTGCAAGAAACTGAAAGTCTTAAGTCAGTTGTTGTTGACATTGTAGGATATAGGAGTGCTAGGGTTTGCAATATTCTGATGGAAATTTCATAGTAGCACAATTTAAACTAACGATCCAGGAAGATTCCTAATGAGGAGAAGCATCCTTATATTTGAAATTGGTAACTCCAAAACTTCATTGTCTTGAATCTGTTCTAATATACAGTTCCCTTTTCCAAGGTAGGTATCAGCTGAGAGGACTCAGCCTTCAGTCCAGAAAGCCTACTGTAGTGTCATCAAATATCCTTTGTAGCAGTCATATTGATGGATTTAGATATTACATTACAAGATTTAGCCAAAAGTATTTTTTCTGGCTGTATCTTCGGAATCCCTGCAATTTTATCCATCTGGAGCTGATAATTTGTTTCATTTATGTGCACCTAAGTGGTATTTGCCATACAACTTCAAACATCTTATGCTTCAAAATGCTTTCGTCATAATATGTTGTTCTTATTCTTCAATTTAGAAGGATTTTTTTGGGGGACCACATCAAAGGTCTTACAGAAGTGCAGATAGATGACATCAGTAGCTTATCAGTGATGGTAGTCACTCCATTGTTGAAAGCCACTAAATTGATCAGGCAAGAATTGCCCTTGGTGAAGCTGGCTGTCCCAAATCACTTCCCTGTCTTCTATGTGTCTTACGTAGCTTCTAGGAGGATCTGTTCCACAAACTTACCAGGCACAGAGGTGAGGCTGGCAGGCTGATAGTTCCTGGATCCTCTTTTTCAGCCCTTTTTAACAATGAGTTTGTTTCCTGTTTTCCAGTTAGCATGACTGCAGTGTCTATCCTGGAGAGTGGCTTGGCAATTACATGAGCAGATTTTCTCAGGACTCTGCGATGCATCTTGTCAGGTCTTGTAGACTTACATATGTTCAGGTTCCTCAAGTGGTCATGAACCTGATCCTCTCTTACTGTGGGAGGGACTTTGCTCCCTCAATTCCTGCCTTCAGGTTCATCACCTTGAGAAGTGTAGGAAGAGAGATTGCCAGTGAAAACAGAGGCAAAAAAGTTATTGAGTACCTCTGCCTTCTCATCTGTTGTTATCAGTTTGTCAGTCATGTTCATTGGGGGTGATGAAGGGGTATACACTTGTTTTACCTTCCTTTTCTGGTTGATATACCTGTATCAGCCCTTATTACTCTTTGCATCCCTTGCAAAGTTCAGCTCCAGTCATGCCTTCATGTTCTGGACCCTGTAATTACATATCCAGACAGCACCCCTGTGCTCTTCCCAAGATACCTGTCCCTCCTTCTGCTGTCAGGCTCTGCTTTCATTGACTTGGTAGGACTGGGGTTTTGCGTCACTTTTGCAAATGGGTCTGCATTCCACTAGATCAGTCTGCTATGTGCAGTCTGTGCTTAGTGTGTAAAGTTATGAGGCTTGGTCTAACCATAACCTCTACCAGCAGCAGTACTGTCATCCTAAGTATTTAAATACAATGCAGAACATAGATTGCTACACATCATTTGCTGCAGGATAATTTTTTGTTATTAACAGATGTTAATTGAATTTTACTATCATCTTGTCTGAGAGGTAGATGGCACGATAGTTACAGAAATGCTTTAATTTTATGTGATAAGAATGAGTGCAATAACAACAGGATTAAAAGAACTGCTACTGTTAAGGAAGAGCTACCCCCCTGTCCATTTGTTATTTTTTTTTCCTCCTACAATTTTTAATTACAACTTAAGTGAATCAGGATATCATGTGGCAGCACATGAGTACTGGTTTTATTGGGTTTTTTTGGACTGGGGGGACAGTGGGAGTGTAAATAGTTTACTTTGAATGAGATGCACATGATTGTGTCTATGCATATGTAAACAGTTCTGAAAGCATGCAGTTTTATAATGAACTGGTGCTCTAGCAACTTTTGCTGGGACACTTTACAAATACTTAAGGTCTGTGCACATGTAATGTTTTGATTTATTTATTTTTTCTGGTGGAAGTTAAACTGTAGTGTAATCTGTGAAAGTTAGAATTAAAATAGCACCTGGCTATCCACTTTTTGGAAGTTTTCTGTTCTTTTAAAAAGTATCCAACTTTGTAATAATGAGTTTGTGTTGGGTTTGTTGCTATAGTGCACTTCTGAAAGTAGTTAAAGCACATGTTTAAAGCAAATCTTAATGGCGTACAGTTCCTGTAATATCTCTACAAGCTAAATGGTGCAAGCAGCATGATGTTGACCTGCTAGAAATTGCTGTTCTAGTAAATTCCAGAGAGGGGTTATGTTTTATGTTTTTTTTGGAAGACGCTGGCTGGGTACAGATGCCTTAATTCTAGTGCACCTCTTTCCTGTATCAAGAACAATAATGAAAAATACTAGAAACTGTGTTCTGTGTGATTAGACATGATGCTAACATCATGCAAAAAATGAACTTTGTGTAAATTTCAGGAAGATACAGTTCTGTGACTGTGTAAAAACTGTTTTCGTTATGCTTCTTATATTTCTTTTTTATTATGATGCTCTTGATATCAGTCTGTAGGAGCTGCCTAGTGAAGTATTTGGAGGAAAACAACACCTGTCCGACCTGTAGAATTGTTATACATCAGAGCCACCCGTTACAGTATATTGGGTATGTATGAAACCAAAAGTGCAGCTAGCTTTACTCTAGAGTGTTGCAGGTTCTAACACAGCACAGATTTTTTCCTAAATTTTCTTATTTGCTTATCAGAATGCTAACCGTTCACAAGAAAGGTTGAAGGTGGCTGAGGAGATTCAGGGTCAAACTTTTTTATGAATTTGAAGCTCTTTGGTATCTGTTAGCATCTTCCAGCTTTAAAAATCAAGAAAAGTATGCACTTGACTGTTTAACTTCTGTGCAAGTTTTGGTGGGGTTTAGTAATGTCTCATTTTATATGCTAAAAATTAGATAAGTTAAATATTTGTAGAAATTACGCTTCTACAAATTATCATACTCCACCTGTTCAAGACGATTCTTCCTCAAACTTCAGGTTTCTGTTTTAGCCTGTATTTTTTAATAATTTGCTTCAAGTTACTGTCTTCTGTTGTTTCATATAATTACAGGTTTGAGAATTGAAATTCTTCTTGAGTGAATTGAGAGATTTTACATCAATTTCGTACTGAAACATTTTTAAGATAAATAGTTGACTTAAACTTTTGATTTTGGTTTTTTTTTTTCTCTGTAGTCATGACCGAACAATGCAAGATATTGTTTACAAACTTGTGCCAGGCCTCCAAGAAGGTAAGTTGTGGTATGGCCTTTTTTAGAGGCTGTTTTGCACATATTTTAACATTTAAAAAAAAAAAAAAAAAAAGCAGGTGATGAAAATGCAGGCAGGATGAACTAAGACAAAATGCAGTGGAAAACCACATTCCTTCATTTGTGTAATTTTTGTTGATTAATTTCATACCTGTGCTAGTAGTAATTGGCAGGGGGTGTTTGTGGGAGGAGAGATAGAATATTTCTTGGAAAAAATAGCATTATATAAAGCAGAACAGTACTACAGCTTTTAAATATAAGCACAGTAATTCTCATTTGTTCTTACTAAATTGTGTATTTAAACCTGTTGTGCCAGCTTTTTGGAATTCTCAGAGGTACAATGTAATGCAGAACAGCTTTTAGTTTCAGTGAAATTTCTTTTAGTGTGTGACTTCCTCAGCAGGTAGCTTTCAATTTCTGTTTTCATAATCCTCTTTGAAACTGAGCCTATTCGACTAAAGAAATACTTTATAGTAACTGCTCAGTAGTTTTCATCATAGTGTATGTTACAGCTTCCTTTTAAATTGAGTGTTTTAATACATTTAAGCTGCAAAACCAGAATTCTCAGACATGAGTAAGGATTATTTAAAATTTATTTCTAATGTATTGAAGGTCAGAACTATAAATACAAAGTCAAAACCAATGCTTTGACTGCAATACTGTACAAGGGATTCAAAATAAGGTATAGTGTTTTGAATACTATCTCATTCTCATGGGAGTACTGTGATAGTAGCTTTACAGTTTACTTAGTAATATTCTGCCTTTGAAAAAGACAAGCATGACTTGATACAATACCAAAGATAGAAGAGTAGTAAATACTAACAATACCACAACTTCTTGTTGGCAAGCCTGTTTCACTTAAGAGGGAAAGGATTTTTAATAACTTCATAAATATTGCATTAGAACTTCATTACAGGGATTAATGTTTACCATTTTAAACAGCGGAAATGAAAAAACAAAGGGAGTTTTATCATAAACTGGGCATGGAAGTTCCAGGGGACATCAAAGGGGAGACATGTTCTACAAAACAGCACCTAGATTCCCATCGAAATGGTAAATGGTCTTCTATTTATTCTGTCTTGGGTGGGTGATGGCTAGTAAATTGATGAACAGACCTGTTGGAGGTATGTGCTCAATTGGTTTATTATAGTCACAGTCATTTCATAAACTGCACAATACAGTGAGTGCAGGATTTTTCCTTTTCTCCTTACTTGTTCACAGACTCTGTTGTGGCTTTTTTTTTTTAAGCTGGTCATAGCATATTACTCTTGGTGAAGGAGGTCTCCATAGTAGTGTCTGCATGGGGACTCTGAAAATAACCAAGCATCTGGACTGTTAGAAGTTAAACTGGAGGTTGTACTTTGCATGTGTTTCTCTCCTTCGTGTTGCCGAAGCAGATAAGCACCATCTGGGAAAAGCCAAGTTTATTCTATATTGCGGTCCTGAGCTGTACTGTTTTAAACGTATCAGCACTACAAGCTGCTGCTGAGTGTTATCCCATTTGTCTGGTTTCTTATCTAAGGTGAAACTAAAACAGATGAAAATTCAAACAAAGAAACTTCTGAGGAAAAGCAGGAAGAAGATAATGATTACCATCGAAGTGATGAACAGGTGAGTTTATAGGGCATGTTTTAGTTTTGTCTTGTATTTTAGCTTTAGTGCTTTGGAAAGCAAACAGAGAAGAGTAACTGTTTCAAGCCACTCTTTCTGTCCTTTCATACAAACAAGATGCTGTGTTGCCCAGTGGTCTGTGTAAGGATGAGTTTAATTTTTGGGTTTTGTCAGGAACTGAGGAAACATTAAAAACATTTAAGATTTGGAAGCTCTGACTATTTCTGGGTTTCTGAAGTATTTATTTGCCTTCAAACAAATTCAGTTTTTTTGGCCTCCTATCTGAAGGAATGTATCTCAGTATTATGCTACATTGAGCTGAATGTATATTAATAACTGAATAAAAACTTTTGCACTTTACTAACATAGGTTTATTTTGTTTTAAACTAATACTAAGACAGTGTTTGTCTTATATCATAAAAATAATATAAAATCTGGGAAGTTTACTATTAAGTGTTAAACACAAAGTATGTTTAAAAGTGAAATCTCCTTTTGGGCTAAAGAAGCCATCCCTTTTATGTTTTCCTGTTATGTGTGTCCAGAGTAAATTAAACCTATGGATTATGTTCTTTTCAATTACAATGTAAGGGAACTTTCAGAGGGATTGTACCTAGTCCTAGATCCTCTTAATGCACAAAGTAAATCACGAAGAGCTTAGAGTAAGTAATTAATACCTGGATGAGAAAAGAAGTGAGAATTGGAGCATAGAAATTAGAGAGACCTTTTGGGGGAATAATCTTTAGAATTTAAAAAATCTGTTATGACATTTGTATCCATTCTTTTTAAACTTTAAATTCTCTCTTAAACATGATTAAAGTTCTAGTTTAAACTGGATTTAGCAGTTGCATTAAAAGCAAGAAGTTATGTTGAAAGCAGCCATTTTAACGTGGCAACAATATTCTTACTGCATATCTTACCCTAGCTTTTGACATAGGGTCCTCTTGAACTACTGGCAGCCCATGAATTTGGACATGAGCAAACTTGCTCTAACATTTAAAAAATTATTTCTCCAACTCTTTTGTCTAGATCGGTTTTGTTTGGAGGAGTGCTTATGATTATACTGACAAGGTGTTAGAAAACTTTTTGTTTAATAGGACTACAGGCATTTCAGTTTAAGAATTACCAGTACTGTACTCTTTCACTTTTTTTGTATTAATAAAAATTACATATGGAATACATGATGAAGACTTGAGAATATTGTTCCAGCCAACTGTGACTTTTCACTTTTTCCTGAAGGTAAGCATCTGCTTGGAGTGCAACAGCAGCAAATTGCGTGGATTGAAACGAAAATGGATTCGCTGCTCAGCACAAGCAACAGTCTTGCATCTAAAGAAGTTCATTGCCAAAAAACTTAACCTTTCTTCTTTTAATGAGGTAACATTTTATTTTTTAAAACAAATTGAAAACAGAACCATGCACCATTTCTTCAATTCCATGTTACAAAGCCATTTTCTTGGCCTTTCTTGGGTCTACACAGGACTTGCTACTTAGTTGGCAGTGCATCTTTTCACATCCATGTAATAATAGTTGAGCTAAAAGTCTTGGTTATGTGCTTCCACATGTATTGAAACAGATTCTGGCGAGGTGCCCGGTTTGACAGTTTGTAGTCAGGTATAACCCCTCTTTCAGAGAGATTTTACATTTTGTGACAGGGTAGGCGGTAGCAGACACTTCAAAAATAGTGAAGCCCAGCTTAAGATAAAGCAGCACAAGTATTGTTCTTTCTGTTCTCTCAGTGAAGCTAAACCTGAAGCTGCTGCCTACTACTACAAGCAGTGTGTTATTAGATACCTGCTTTTCCCGTGCTTTGCAGGGAATACTTGGAATCATGGGAAGGATTTATGGTGAAAGGTACAGAATAAAAGGCAATTCTTTGCACTTCTCCTAGTTCAGATGTGAAATTAACAGTGGTGAGCATATGAGTGCACCCTCTGTTTACTGTTTTGCTGGGTCCTGGACACAATCTTTAGACATCTCAGTTGATTTTCAGCTTGACATCTTCCAACCCTGCATTATGTCACCAATTCACTGAATTTCATTAAGACTTTTCATTCAAATCAAATAATGTGCTTTTCAATCCAGTGTGTCAACACCTTTTTGCTCAGACTTCTCAACAGCCAATTTGCATCAATGTCACTCTTCCTTCCCAGCTTCCATACACTTCAAACCACCTTATGGTTGGAGTATGTCCCCAAACTCTGCTAGTCTTCCTGAGAGAAAACTGTGTTTTGGAAATGGTTGGCTCATAGCTGTAGCCCAGCAGCAACATATCTACTGTCACTTTTCAAAAGGGGGTATTTATGCATGTGTGTTAAGTACTCCATTCCACTTTACCCATCTGTGATTTAACAACCTGCACAGCTTTTACTGAAGAAACAAACTTTCAGGAATACCATTTATTCCTTTGCCATCCCTCCCTGCCTTCTTAAAGATTATATAAATTGTGGCTTAATCAGTGTACCAATACCAAAGAATGGGTACATAGTAGAAGGATAATTTGAGCTTGGGGGCATTTAGTTGTTTGCTATATAGACTATTGCAGGTTTGAGTAACTGGCAATTAGATAAGCTGTGTAAATGGACTGCGTGCACATTCTGGTCTTTCTGGGTTGTTAAATATGCTGCTGAGGTGGAGGTTACTTTTTCGTGCATGTTCCTTGTAGTTCAGCTGGTCAGTATGTTGCTAATTTTTTAAATGCTTATATTGTCACTGTTTCTAATACCAAGATTTTTCAACACTGAGATAGAAAAGTAAAAAAAGCTATTGAGTAGCTGCGAATAAACAAAAAATGTAGTGTTTTAGGGAAGTGGCAGACAGTTTTGGTTTGTTGGGGGTTTGTTTGTTTGTTTGTTTTTTACAAAATGTGTCCTTGTGGCAGAATGCCACCTGGCTGATGGAAGAAAAAAATCATGCTATGTTAAATAACGCCTGTCCTTGAGATTTGTGAATGGTGTCTCATTGATAATTTCATTGGGCCTTTTTGAAAGCATGTAAGCTTTCAGGATAGGGCACTGGTGCTGCTCGGGAAGCTAAATCAGTTTAAGTCCAGTTCACGTGGGATTTCCTAGGTAGGCACATGTATGGTCTTTTAGACTTGATGTGGAGGAAAAACACTCATTTTTCATTCCTGGTGCTATTTTTGTCTGCAGAGCAACTGCAAGAATGGTTCTAGTGTCTTCAGAGAAAAAAAGAAATCCTGTCAAATATTTGTAGTATTATCTGAAATATACTCATGTAGTCATAAAATATATTAATGTACTGTGTCCCAGTGAATTAACTGTTGTCTTTGTTTTGTCAGCTGGACATATTATGCAATGAAGAGATTCTTGGCAAGGACCACACACTCAAGTTTGTAGTTGTTACTAGATGGAGATTCAAGGTATGGCACAGTGATACTACGTAAATAATGAAGTGACCAAATAAAATACTTATAAAAAATGCATAATTTGAAACTACACTGTACTAACTGCAAACTCAATAAAAAGATAGTTTAACAAGTATCTAATACAGCATCCTTAAACACCAAATATTAATTTTGTTTCCAGGAGATAAAAAAGAGAGTTAAGTATTAATTGCAAAGGAAAAGGGAACACTTAACCAATTGTCAAATTGTTATCACATCTAGCCAAGGAAGTAGAAGCCCTAAGAAAGTATTTTTAGCTTATTCAGGTAAAACTGCCTTAGTTAAGGAAGCTTCTTGCAGCATAAACAAGGCTGGTTAAAAATGTTTAAGTACACCTTTCACTTAATTACTGTGATTTCTTCAAACAACTTCCTTGAAACTGAATAATAAACAGTGGAGCATTCATTCTTAGTATTGATTATCACATCAATAATTACAATTCCCATGAAATGGGTGTAAGAATTAATGGCAAAATTGACCACTGAAGAGGCAAGTGGCACCTGTGCAATCAGTGTATGTGTATTTTGGAAAGTTTGAACTAGGAGTTAGTATTCATAATGAACAACCCACAATGGTATGTGCTGAGGTAGAATCCCTGAATGGCTTTGGATACCTATCTAGAAGAAGTGTAGATGACAGTAGGAAAGCTTTTTCAGTCTTTGTGTAGAAAAATAATTGACGTGCTTAAGACTTGCAGGATGGAAGTCAATGATCAGTCTTTGAAGTGCAAAGTTCCTGAGTAGAATCCCACTGGAATCTGTTTTGTGTGATGTACGTGAATGACCTGGAAAAGAATTTCAATAGCGCAGTTAACAGTGCACTGACAAAATTGTGGTTATTTAGGATAGTGAAGAGAGATTGATGACAAAGGACTGAAGCAAACCTTTACAATTCTGAGTGACAGATGATTAATGTGTGCCTTAACTTCAGTGTAGGTAAATATAAAAGAATACAAAGCAATTGTTAGGGATTTGGGGGTGGGGACACAAAACAACCAAGAGGGAGCTGTTCTTTACATGAGAAGCAGAACTCCTTGGTGCAGGATGTTGTGGATGTTAGTTTACCTGTTCGTAAAAGAAGCAATGGATACATTCATAGAAGAGGAATCAAATGAAACCTGTTTAATATGAAGTGCCACATTCTCTTATGCTGCTTTTTAGGTATCTGCATTTCTCCGTTACTAGGAGTTTCCAAGTTAAACAGACCTGGTAGGACTGATTTAAGGTGACAAAAGGGAGAAGATTCTTGGTCTCACCTTTGAGCTCCACAGATGAAGTTGCATCTTGTCTTTGTCTTGGTAAAAATTTGATGAGTCAGGTAGCTACTGTGATAGCTCATTTAAGCTTTTGTTTAGGGAACAAAAAGTTTTGCTTACTGAATAGGTAGTTTCAGTTTTGTTTCTCAACTTACCTGATATTTCTGTCTTGCAGAAAGCACCTCTACTGCTACATTACAGACCCAAAATGGACTTGCTGTAAGAGAACTTTATTGTCCTTTTGGACAGAGTTTTTTGCAGAGACTATCATCTGGCACCTTCTTAGTGCATCACTAATCACACAACACAAACCAGCTGAATAATTTTGGAAGACTATAGTGCTTTCATAGCAGACTGTACTTCTGAATATTTGTTCTAGGGATGTGTTACCTAGATTGCTGGATGGAAAATATTTATACTTTTTTTGTATGGAAGAAAGAAGTTGCAACTCAACATGACACTACCAGCACTAAGTTTACAGATACTGAAAACACTTCACAGTTCTATGTAGCTCAGCCCAATTTAATCTCTTACAGTTATACAGGAATAATTTAGAAAGTTGTGGGGTGATTTTAAAATGTTGCTTTTTACACCAAGATGCATTTATTTACTTTTCACATTCTGAATCTTTAAAAACTATATTTTTGCAAAGTGTTACTGTCTTATATACTATGCCTGATTGCATTGGCTTTATTCAAGTTGTTCTGTAGAGCATTTAACATACCTAATGATGTGGTGACTGGTGATAATTTATTATGCTGCATTGAAAATTTTTGAAAATCTGGGAAACCAATAAGTTCATCATTTTTGCCCAGTTATTGCTCTCCCTGACTCTGTGTTTTACTGAAGTTTTTATACTCCCCTATGCATGTTGATTTGGTAAAATAGAAATAATTTCAGTTTATTTTAATGTGCCCTGATATTTTGCTGTGGCATAAATTGCACCACATAATGACAAATACTCAAAAGTGCTAAATTTGTGATTTATTTTTTTTTAAAAATAAACATTTCTTATGTAGTTGTGGCTTGCAGAAATCAGTTTTTAATTAGGAGAGAATTTGCCCTTACCAGCTATTGAAACACTGGCTCTTGGGAAACTTTGAGTGATACAGCACAGTTTTCACTTCACTGATTAAAAATTCCCCAGATCATTATAAGCAGCTTTATATTTCCTTTACTTGTTTTCTTATGAAACCATATAATTTTCTTTAGCCTAAATTCCTAGCTGTCTTGCTGGGGGGAGGGGTTTGGACAAGATTATATTGACACCTTCTGGCCTTAACTGAAAATTTTTGCTTGCGGCAGCCCAAATGAATGCAAAGTAATACACATGCATGTATATGTGTGTGTGTACATCTGTACACACATAGAACTATGTATGTTATAAAATTCACCCTCAATAGCACTTAGCAGGGTTTACTGCACTGTTTGTAAGGTGTTTTTTAACAGCTGGCTTTTTTAAAACAGTACTTGAACATGATTTCTGCAAGCTGTATACTGTACAGCATATACGTATGATTGTGAGAGTATTTGTCTGAAACAGGTGTAAAAGTCACTGAAAACAGCCTATGTCATATTATTGGCAGCTAGAAATAGTTAAAGTTCTAATTTTTGGAAGAATTTCCCAGTGAGCTCAAAATGTTAGTTGCTATTCCTATTATTAAACTCTGTTATTTTTTGATAAATTGGTTTGGGTAAGAAAACAAGTTTGCCTGTTACTGCCCTACTCATTCTGTGCTCCTTACCCTCTTCTGCTAGGAATTTTTACTTGTTACTTGCTAACAGGAGGCAGATGCTGCAAGAGTTTCATCCAAGCATTTTAAATCCTCTTCATCTGAGTTTTCAAAGCACCACATTCCTCAGCACGTGTCCCATAATTTCCTTTTTGGAATCTTCAGTCCTCCTTTCTCAGCTCTGCTTCTGCAAAAGGGGTGATCCAACTTGTTCTTACCTTTTAAAAAAAAGGTTCCTCATTTTTAATTACAGTCACAGATGTGAATGGCAAGGAGATCAAAAAGTATGTCAGCAGAGAATGAAAAGGAGCCTGATGATCTGTGGAGATGGAAAGAAGAGCCACAGAGGCCAAAAAGTCCTATTGTCCTTGCAGGTGGGGGTATAGGGTAGAGGCTTTTGAATGTTTGAGTCAGGCAAAACACCACATCTGGACTGGGTGGCTGGGTTTGTGTGTGGGGTGTATGTGTGCACATGCATATGAGCAATGGAATTGTACTTGGCTCTGGTTTTGTCTTACTGTTTGTGGACTAAGATAGATGTATTTTAGCTTTTTTTCTGTTTTTAACATTACTTGAACTGGCAGAACAGGACAAATGAGATAGTGGGTCTACCATTTGTATAATCTTACAATGAAGCAGTCAACCCCAGTGATAAAGATGTGTACACAGACTGGCATACTGAGCCTCTCTGGAGCTGTTTTTGTGGTTTTTACTGCCCTAGTGTAAATAAGAGACTGGCTCTAGCCAGTGAAGCACTTAAGAGTATGAACAGGGCTGCAGGTGTCCACCCTCTGTGCATCCTCACTATACAGACACTGTCTGTACCTGATGTAGACATAAAATTAAAGCTGCCTGAGAGCATTCTGATTAACCACCTTTATCAGCATATATTTATATACACACATAAAAACAAAAATATATATATGTGAGACCTGTCTACCTCAGAATGTGTGTACTGCAGAAACATTTTGTACGACTAGATACTGATGCAGTGCTATTAAAGTACGTTGGGATGTCAGTATTTTCCTATGTACTTGTGCAACTGAGAAATTATTCACAAACATGAAATTCAGAAGCCTTTCAAATTTATCTCTTACTCTAGCAATCTACACTACAGTACATATATTTATAAGTTTATAGCCGTCATTAGAATCACTTGAATTTGTTATGGTGCTATCAATATATTGGAAACTCTTTATACTTATATGGATACATAAATTCAAGCCAGTATTAATGCTTACTGCTGGGTTTTTATGTTCATAATTGTGTGTAACTGCTTTCACAATGTATTTAATCTGATAAAACCTCACCAGTTAAAAGAAAAAAAAAAAAAAACAAACTTCACCAAATACAAACCCACCCAGTTATTTTTCTAAATTACATGTAACAACATCCTCACTACAGAAACTCTTACCCTCAGGAGGGATGTGACTGTGTCTGGACCATATTTTTATTTCCTTTAGCTTTACTAAAAAAACTACAATGCAATTGAACTGAGGTCAGAGGGAGGTCCCCTTTGGATCAGAGCCTTGTTTCACTTCTGTGAAGCTTAAAAACCAGTTAATTTATGTTGAGATTATATTGGGTAAAATAGCCCTGTTTCTGTTCAAAGTTGGACTAAATGTTGTACTCAGTGTAGATATCTCTTAGTTCTAGTGAGATTATGTTAGTTTATTTTGGCTTTCATGAAGATGCTGTTACTGTGAAGTAGTTTTCACAATTGCTTGCGCTGGTAAATAATTGCAGTAAGGAAGTATCTTGTCACATTATCCTCAGCAGCTGTGAGACTGACTAATCACCCAGGCTCAGAGTCTCATTAAATATAGTTTCAATAAAAATAGATAATTCAGATAGAATATATAATATTGAATTTAAATAAGATTGGGGGTTTTAAATTTTAACTTTATAAAATTATTTATTCTATTTTAAGCCTTCTGTCTTATTTTACCATCCAAGTATTTTTGGTTTCAGTGGTCCAGCTTTATTTACGGGCATATAAGATGAAATTGTAAGATGTTTTTACAAGCTTCTTCCTTTTACATTGAGTTCGAGTAGCTTATATTTGTATGTTTTTGTTTTGTATGGATAAAGAGCATTACTTATGCTTTTGTGCAATAGGTTTGAAACATGCATTTATTAGGCATATGTTTAAACTGTAAATGTAGCATCTACTTACCATTAAATTTTAAAGTAATGTAGATGACTTTTCTCACTTGTTCAAATGGGTGTTTATTTGGGGATATTATTTGGGGAAGTTGTTTTTTGATTTGTTCCTTTTTATTTTAAGAGTGAAGTGTGGGATTTAAATTTGTGTAAGTGCAAGAACTATCTGTCAGCAATATTTTTAAATAAATGATCTTGCAAGAAACCTTAATGTGAATTGTGGAAGCAATCAGCAAGACTTGCAGCCTATCTGAAAATGTTTTGTGCCATTGTTATGTCTGGTATATTTGTGTACCATCAAACTTAGGAATATTTATTTTTATTAGTTGTGCAATAGTACACACAACACTGTCACCTCTGGGGATATGTAACCATAAAAATATCAGACAACTATGATGGTGCTATTTTTTTTCCAATAGGCTATGAGCCTTTGAAAGCTTATCTGGCTCTTATTGTCTTTTTAACAACATAATTACTCCTAGGAGACTGAGTGAACAATAAATATAACCATATAGCCAGCCTATTTTACAGCATTACACATCTTTCCATTGAACTAAATATAATAGAAAGAAGCCAATCAGTCCATACAAGATAAATCTTAGTAAGTACTTAAAATGCATTTTGTACTGGAGGCTTGACTATACAGAAAAATCAAGTTTCTGTATTTCCTCAGGTAATTACTTCAGTTTGGATGTTTCACTGGAAATGTGAATGCAACCTACACTTCAGTTAGACTGCCTAAAGTTTATAACAGGGCAAAAAATTGTCCCATACAATAGAACATCTACGTAACTTACAAATAACTAAGGTCTTGAGATCGGTTCTTGCAGTAAAAGGTTGCAGAGAGAACAACGTTAAGGAACATGAAACAGTGCTTCAATCTCTGCTTCAAAGCTCTGGTCCTGCTATTTGATCCATGTTTAATCACCCTTGGGGATTCTTGGGAATCTGTTGAAGCCACAATGACCTCTCCAGATCCTAGTCATAGGGTAGGAACAAAATGTCCAGTTCTATGAATACTTATACTGGTAACTTTACTAATAATCTGGATGGTTCCACAGAAACTAGCTGGATCATTCATGTGAATAGTTAGATGTGGCTGAGGAGAGAGCCCTGGTTTTTGAATACTGATGTTTCCAGTATTTTTATTTTTTATTATTTCAAACACAGAGCATTGGTTTAACGGAATCTTGAATTCAAGTGACTTATCTGAACAAGACAAGAGTTTGTTCTTTCCTTCTGCAACAAAATTATTTTATGGTTAAGGGACAATAAGCCAGTGCAACCACTAAGCCTTTATCCTTGTATGTGGCATAACAAAAATTCTGAAACTGTCACAGTGTAAAACCATATTTTTGGCTTAGCTTCATTTGAAAGTTTACAATTTTTTATGCTTTGTGTTGCTGTGTAATTTTTGTACTATTGGTGGCTAGTTTTGTCGGAATAAGCCTTTTGGGATTATTGCTTAATGTTTTGATTTTATGATAGTGAAGCTTGTATCCAGTGTTTTGCCAATTAATATTATATGCTTGTTAATAAAAGCAGAGAAACTAACTGAAATACTGTCAGGCTGGAAGTTATTGTCCCATTTTCCCCAAAGGACATAAGGAGTAAGGAGTCAGCTGAACCAATGGTGGTGTGTCGTTGCATTGCCATAATGAGCCTTTTCACTTAAAACACAAGCATGGCCCACAGTGTTACTCCACTGCACAGAATGGCAAAGGCTGTTACAAGTGAGTGGCGTGTAACTGCTGGTTAGGAAACAAAATGGCTTTACTAGAGAGGAAGAACACAG